CAACTTTTGTTAAGATTTGATGTTAATTTTAGGAAAAAGGCCACATTAAACTTTAGTTTTCAGATTTAGCTGCCAAAATTTTATTTTTCTGTCGATTTCGATTTTTCTTATAATCAGAATATTATAAAAAACGATGTTAACATTAACAAGTATAACAAACTGTTACAAGTTAAATGTCATTGCCAAGAGTCCGTAGTTATACTGTTACATGTATATATGATTCGAATTGTGCTAATTTGATAAATCAAATTGAATTATATAATAAACAAGAAAATGACATTTACTAAACTGGATAATTACCACGTGATTCTTAATCCTTTTTAATCAAAGTACATTGTACACATATACTAAATAAATATGGAGTGATAGATAATCGAATAATAGTTGATGATCTTCTTGCCAATATAGAAGTTCCTTCTAATCTATTTATTAATAGTTTTTTCCCAGAAACTTTTGTCCAAATATAAACTTAGGACCTGTTCTTATCCACTACTTTGTTTGTTCTATAAATAATTGGCATCAAGTCACCAAATTTTTACTTTTGTTGTTTCTCTATTATATTTTCATAAAATCATAAGTGTATATACGAGTCCACGTCCTCACAATGACAAGAGTCATGCAATATCATTGAGCCCGACATATTTGTCATTGACAACCCAAAAACATACATAATTTATAATATACTCTGTGAGATTTTAAAAATATGAGTCTTAATCATGAAATCTCGAATCTATTGAAATTAGAATCGGATAACTTGATTTTTAAAGCCATACCGTATTGTTATAAATCATGTGTTACACTTGCTGCAAATTCTTCGTAATAACTAATATATCATTTACATTTTTCTTATAAATAATTTGGAGTCATATCTTATTGCTATTTGAAATTATAAATTTATCTAATGACTTGTATTTTTTTTAACAATATAGAGAAAATCTTAATAGTTAGTAGGATACTAATTTTTTAAATTAAAAAGAAAATTGATAAAGTAATGGTACTAAGAAGATAATCAAACATAAATCCATATTCACAAGCTAACATTAGAACAAAATTGTTGCTCCTCGGATCCACAACCTGTTTGATCTTCTTTAATCAAGCTTTTGTTCTGTCCATGACACATAATTGGACGTACTTTGGAAGTTAATTTATAAACTAATCATATTTTTGGCGAACCATTATCCACTTGCACAAAAGTTTTAAAACCAAATATTAATATTCTCGTAACATAAATATTATCAACATTAATTAACTAAAAAGAGACACCAAATCTTCTTTCCTTGAGCCATTCCTTAGCATCAAAGAAATCGAGAATAAAACAGAAATTTGGTTTGTGTTAAAGGCGTTATTTTCACATGAGCCCATTTTTCAGTTAAGTAACAGTAGTGTAGTGGTTATCTTTTTATTAATCGAGTCTTATATATGAGTATATTATACGAGACACGCCAAATTTTCTCTAGTTATCCCTTAATTTATTGTAGATTCAGAGATTACTCTGAGATTCGATATTAAAAAATTTAGGTTCATTATGGATCGACCTTAGAATTATGATGGTGTTCCGGAAGTTTAATTATGTGTTCACAAAACACAAGAGACAACGAGGAACATCGTATGTCTTTCTTGTTATCGTACAATATGACATTAATGAAAAATTGTAAATACTACATTAAATATTACACATTTTGATATGAAACATCGTATCTAGCTAAGAAAGCTTATTGAGTTTGTTTATACATAATATACTCCTTGAGTATATAAGATCTTTTTTTTTGTTAAAGATATAAGATCTAATTTGAGACATGTAAATTTACAATCTGCGTGACACGCGAATTGGATATCCACTCTTTAATCTTGCAAACAATGTCCACTTCTCGATGCTTGGATCTCCATCGACCACCTCCCATCTTCAACATTGCGCCATGCCACAATTATTTTAAAGTGTTATTACAAAATTATTCAAATATGCATTCATAATTCAAAATTGATACGAACCTGTAAGTGGTTATAAAACGGTGAAGAAAGACTAACATCATGGCTTTGGCCATAACAAGTCCAAGACATGTTCTTCCTCCCATCCCAAATGCTAAGAAACTGTTTGGCTTTGGTTCCTCCTTTCAACCAAATTATTTCCATTTATTAACTTTAATTTTCTTAAGCAAACATAAAACATTATTTGAATATGAAAATTATATTGTAAGGAAAAAGAGACTATATATGAAATTAAACATGTTTATTTATATTATCTTGTACTTACGTCAAACCTTGAAGGGGTGAACTTGAGAGGATTATTATACACATTAGGATCAAGATGGATGGATCTTGCATCTACATTTATATTCCACCCTTTTTTAATTTTGTATCCTTTCAAATCAGAAAAAACAATTATTTAAGTCAGATATAATTTATTAAAAGTTTTAAACAGATAACTTTATAAGATAAAGAATTAATGTTTGTTTATTTCAAGATAATCAAAGCAAACCTTCCATTTCACAGTCTTGAAGTACTAATCTTGGGAACCAAGGCACAACAGACGCCATTCTCAGAGATTCTTTCACCATCTATTTGTAGTTAATGATTTATATATATATTAGTCCATATTTATAAGATAAAAAAAATGGCTTAGACGTGGTTAAATATTACCTTGGAGGCATATGGCATTTGACTGAGATCTTCTAATTCAAGAAATGGTTTATGTGATGCCTTCTTCGCAATCTGAGACTGTTCTTCCTGTTGACCGACCAAGACAATGACATAATAAATTGGAAAA